GATCACTGGCAGATAAATGCGACAGACATCCTCGGAATCCCTGATTCCGGCACGTTAAGTATCAAGTTCAAAATATCTGCAGGATGCTCGAAAACTATATGCAATATAATCTTCATCTTTCTTTCATTCATTTAAAGTGGATCTCTTCTTAACGCAATTTCACTGATCCCTGTACGCCAAATGACTCAGCTAGAGTATATAACTTCTTTATTTAATTTAAGTTAGTCTTTAAATCCTTAGCTAAGACACGAGAGCATACACAGGTATTTCTGCCTTTGGTCTCAGAGTTTGTTGCCAATTTATTTTTGTAAAATTATTGTATTATAGATTTTGATAAAATAATCCAAATGCAAATACAACCATTTTTTTGTTTTACTAAAAATGTATCATATATCGGTTTTTAACCATACATCTAACTCGTTTTGTCGTCAATTAATACAAAAAGGCTAATTATGCGATTGAAAATGACTAAAGTAAATGATAAAAACGTTCCATTTAATTGCAATGTATAAAATCAAACAAAGAATTATTTATCTAGCATTGACGTTTTCAGTCAAATTAACCTTGTAAATTTCTACATTAATGTAAACTGTAAATTCTATTATACGCGATTATTGGTTTTTTATAAAAATTATATATAAACTGAAATCCTACAAATTCTCTCTATTCTACATATAAATCATGTAGAAATTGATTTGATACATTGACCTTTGATATGCCGCTATGATATGTTAATTCACACTCATACACACACACACACCGAAACTTTCTATAAGCGCTTTATCAAAGTTTTAAACAATTGGGAATATACTGTCATTATGCATTACATAATAACTCCATAATCACTTTTTCGACAACTACCCATCGACTACCTATTGTTGCGTGAGATTGCCGTTTGTTTGCCATGTAATTAGTGTCGAGGAGGTATGAACTAATTATTAGCGCAGGTTGTAAAACAAGCGTTCTCTAATATACATCCATTGCTAATTAATTGCTAGCAACAATTAGTAATTAGATAACTTGTGTTAATCAACATCACGTTGCTATTAGAATATCTTTGAGCAGTTTTTATCAATTACTGTCACAAATTTTTATACTATGCCTAGAGGTGCAAATTATTATATAGGAAACAGGGTGTTTCCTAAATAAGTGCAAAAAATTGAAAGGGATATTCCGTGGTTTACTTTAGGAAGAAAAGATTCTATAAACATATGCTCTAAACTGTTCTTCGTTTTCAAAATATAGGTGTCAAAGACGCACGCCGGGGTGGATCTAAAAATGTTTTATCGATACTGAAAAATGGTTCTTAATACCACATGTACGCATACCGAATAAAATATCTTCAAACGTTTTCCAGATTTTCGACATTTTCATATTTTTTTCACAACTTTGACACCCTATATTTTGAAAACGAAGCAGTTTAGAACATGTTTATAGGACCTTTTCTTGCTAAAATAAGCCACGGAATATTCCCTTCAATTTTTTGTGTTTACTTAGGAAATATTACTAAAATACCTATATCTATATATAGGTACTTCTCCAATATTAATCGGGAGTCTCGCACATAGCCCGCGTACATCCTCTCTTCACTGACTCGCCTATGAATCGTTATGCGATCTTATGACGAGGACAGCTAAAGAAGATAAATCTATAGTTTCAGTGAACTTCAAAACTTCATCGTTTAAAATAAAAGAGTGATAGTCATCTTCCTCTATCTCTATCATGCAGAGATAGAAACCTACTAACATCTGAAATTTTTGTTATACTCGATAACTCCTTTAAAAATCAATATTTTACAATATAGATACATCGATTATGAAAATTATAAAATTATACCAATTATAAGGAAGAAGTTTTTCCAACAACAAATTAATAAGAAATGCAAAGCACTAATATATCCGTTATAAAACGTCGATGAGCAAATCCATCACTTCGTTTTTATACACACACCCACATCTTATGTTAAAGAGTTTATGCTAAATAAAAGGGTGCAATTCTGGAATATTATACACTTTATACAGTGCAACGAAAGATAGGACGTCTTATTTCAGTGGCTGATATGTCTTACCTCCGTGCGCCATAACATGAAATGTCATATGCATAGTTTATAGAAGAAAGTCGTAACGTGAATATAGGTTCCGAGGGAATCATAAAACAAATAGAATAAATACCTGCTGGCACTTTTATATTAGAAAATATCGCCTTCAATAGCTCGTAAAATATTCCCTACAATATATCAATAATTTTTATATTCTTACTTTCATTAAGCGTTACAGGTCTACCTCTTGACAGTCTTTTATTATATATTTTATTTAACAAGTTGCCTGTAACATTTTAGTGATGATTTAAATTCGGTTATATTAGAATTAATTTCAATTGTTCCGAGAATTTTAGTCGAAAATTGTATTGAATTTTCCACGTCGGGACTTTTATAGTGAACATTTTTCCGGATTTTATAAAAATCGTAAATACAAAAACGTTACCGCGCCAACGACAGATTCTCGCGCGTCACTTCCGGTCGTGACACGTTACGCACGTTATTTGTCGCATTAAAATGTGCGTTAAAGAAAAAAAAGTGGTTTATTACAGTAATTCATACATAAAAGACACGTTATTTTATCTCGTGTAACGCGCGTGCCAGCGATAATTCCCTCATACGTGGGCGACTATTACGCAAACATAACGTACACGCGCGCGTGTAGTTATACATGGTTGCGCGTACAGTTGAGCGATTCACGATGAGACCTAATCAAGGACATGCGATATTTCACAGACATAATTTCCTAGATATCCAGCGCGGAAATTATTGAGCAGCGAACAGATAACCATTTCTGAAAAGTCACGCGAACTTGGGCATTGTGCCTTGCGAAAGATCGTATCGTAAGAGCGTCATCATGACTTTCGCACCTAATTGCGAATTTCGCGTGAACACACGATCCGACTTCCCATTTAGTCGTCGTAACTCCGTATATGAACACGTATTCCGCCAAATAAAATTATATATCCATTACATTCGTTGTTTTATATAATATTGTCGGCTTATTATATTCGCTTTTATTGTTATATTACATATAAATATTATTTATGCGGATTTTTTTATTTGTTGCTAAAGTTTGTTTTAATAGGGTTTTAATAAGAATTTGACTAGAGGATCAAACTTCTTTTCTCTCATTTCCAACACCATTCCAAAGTTTGTACATGTAATTTTTCAATAATTCGTACAGATTGAAAAAAAAATATTTTCCAATATATACCATTAATTTTGTATATAAGTTTCCTTTGTCGAAATTTTCCAGAATCGCTGGGATCGCCAAAGGTTCTTGTGCATTCGTATAAGAATTTACATTTTTCTTCGGTAATTAATTCATATAATATTGAGTTTTACAGCACACGAAATTTTTAATGAGCTTTACCAACACAAAAGTAGTTCCGTGAAATAACTCAAGTATTTCTCATTAAACATTCCGCATAAAATTGGAGCGAAAAGTGCCTCTTCATAGAAGAAACTCAAGACTCAGCGCCGGATTGAAAGCGCTTCATTATTTGTTGCATCCTGTAAGTGGTTCTTTCGATCGGGAGACGTATAAGTAAGCGCCACCAGCAATCCCTCCCATTCGTCAAGGCGGAATTTCTTTTGTCGCGCCCTTCTGATGTAGGTCGAAACGCGCGGAAGCGTGCGGATGAAAAGGGAGTTTCGGATTGGAAATAGCCCAGTAACGACCATCGCGGCATTTTCTAGCTTTTGAGACGCAAGAAAATAACGATACAGCAGTATACGCAATCACACGGCAAAATATGATAGCCTTTGACGTTGAAGGACTCGAGGCGTGTCGTATCGGGAAAGGAATGTTAAATGTGAAGTGCGGAAAAATGTGCATATTCCTATCTCAGATCCGCGGAAAGTCGGAAACAAATGACAGTCGCAGACGAGGACGTTAAAGTAATGACGTGTGCGATGAAAGATCGGAGAGAAAGCGCGCGCGAGATGCCAAATAATAATGCGCATGTATCTCCGCAGTGTTGCATATTCAAATCTTATTTGTTTTTCAATTTGTGATCGATGCGGAACGCGAGATGAAAGAAATCATGGATTGGTGAGAACGATTGTTCGATTGCTCAATGACACAAAAATAAGGGGAAAAAAATTAAGGATCAAAATTTCTCCAAAATTATACATTTTACTCCAAGAATCTACGAACAAATAAAAAAGAAACCGATTACAGATCCCGTTTCGCGAATTTTTTCGATGACTAAATTTTATTTCAATGTAATGAGCTAATTAAAATCGAAGGCGTTTTTTTAATTAAAGAACTTTGAAAAAATATATAGTGTTTCCTAAGTTAGTACAAAAAAATTAAAGGGGATATTCCGTCCCAATCTCACACACATCCGTAACATATTAGACTTTCAAAATATATATTTTTGAAACGGCATGCAGTTCCGTCGATCTTCAGACTTCTTTATTTCCAAAGGTGCAAAGAACGCAGGGGCAGTGATCTACCATATGTAAGAAAAAAAAGTAGTCGACCTTCTTCTTCGAACCGACTGCATACGACATACCAATCCGACTAAAAGCCCTAGGTACCGCTTACAAATGCATTCTTTCTTCAGTTGTTTTCCTCTAACCCTCTCCTAAGTACTCGAGAGATGACAAACGGCACAAATAGAGTGCGAATAAAGACGCGGAATTTAATGCTGCATATGTCAAGAATGTTTTGTGTGTCGCTCTCAGTACATCTATCTTCTCGAGGTACGGATCCATGAAACTTGTGCGCAAAGTTACCGAGGAACAATGCGTCACGACTGAAATTGGTATATCGCATGTTTCCCGTGTAATATAGTTGCCCGTGTAATGCAAACTGCACACGTTACCCGCGTGTAATATAGACGACGATGCCATATACCGAAGTGATATCGCGACGCTTTTCGACAATTTCAACGGCAATTACGTCCTCTTATACTTATATTAAGAGACATTAAGAGCAAGTTAAGCAGCCTACCTTCTAGCTCGACGATCTTGCCGGCTCTCTTCAGCGCCTTCACCGCCTCGTCGTGCGTGGCCTCGCGCAGATCCTCGCCGTTCACCGCCAGAATGGCGTCGCCGACGTAAAGCTGCTCGGTAGCGTCCGCCGCCATGCCCTTGAAAATCTTCGAGATGAGAATCGGCATTTTGTTCTCCTTGCCGCCCTTGATCGAAATTCCCAGACCGTTGTTGTCACTTTTGACGACGCGAACAATGCGCTTCTGATTGGCCACCGAATCGGGCACATCCGGATCGTTCAGACTGTCCACATTGTTGTTGTTGATGTTGCCGTTGTTCAGGGTCGCGTTGTTACCGGTCTCGCAGCTCTCGTCGAGCGAAATGCTGAGATAATCGTCCTCCAACGAGACGAACACGCGATACCACTGGCCGCGCACTTGGGTCTCGAGTATACCGGCGCGTCCCGATGCCGAGGACGAGGCGCCCGTGGTCGTGGTGGTCGACGAGGAGGACGACGACGTCGCCGCGGTCACCATCGCGCCGATCCCCATTACTCCCATGGCCGAAGATGTTTGGCCGCTACCACACAGCTCTACCATTTCGATTTCTTCGCAGGCTGTACGCTGCAACATGCAACAATAATCGCACATATACATTTTTTGCCTTTTTATACCTACCCATTTTAAATATTTTTATAGCTATATACCTACGAACAAAACTTTATGGCTGCGTATTAAGTGAGAAAGATAGAGAGAGCAAATTAAAAATAAGAAAAAGAATGTCCTTATGAATAAACATCCGGGAAAGCTTTCTATCGTGAGTTATATAAACGATGAAAATAAAAATGGAATTGGAAATAAATAGCTTTGTGCGAATATATACGATTTGTCGCACTAGAGACACATTTTCATGGAAAAACAAGAGATTTGGTAAATCTTCATTTATTTATCTTATGCCTCGTTCGATTTTCAATGAAAGGGCTCGAGAAAAATGGCAACATATAAAATGGATGCTATAGTGCATCGGCGAATAAATGGCGCCGGTACTCGACGACGTGAATAAATCAATTGTACTATATGCCGGCGAAATTCGTAATTTGAAAATAATTGATAGCGGTCGACAGTGACGTGGCAGTGCTCTCTTTGTTTTCCTCCTACACCATTATTTCCATCAATCCAGTATCGCGCCGCAACAATAGCGTTACCACTGTCCGCGTAAAATGGCGTAGGGGAGCAACGGAAAGCAAATAATTAGAAGAAAATTGCATGCGCTTAAAGTACATATATATACACATATATGTACATGTATATGTATATACAAATATAAATATATACGTAATATGTGAATGTGTGTGATGTGTGTATGTGTTTGTGTACGCGCGCGTGCATGTGTGCACGCGTGAATGTAATAGTTTTTAACTAATTCGCATACACTTTGTTTTTAATTAATTCTGAAAGTTTTAATGAATCCGGGAGAATGATTCGAGGAGAATGTTTGGTTAGAGATCATTAGTTCGTAAAACAAGAAAACTCCGAAATCTGCAAAACAAATGAAATCAAAAATTCATGATTACAAAAAGTTCGGAGTCTCGTACGAATTTTGAGGACTAAACCATATGTTTAATGTTTAACCGAGAAAAAATACAATCTTTTTTCTAATGCAAGAAAAATTAGTCAATATTACTATAGCTCTTTAATGAGTTTTAAAATCTGGTAAGAGATGAATTTACCATTTATTATCGGGCATTCCGTGTAGAGAGCGATATTTTTGGCAAATGAGTTTTCTCACAAAGTCTCTACAGCTTCCTGAATGTAGTACCATGCAAAAGTAATGGAATATAGCAGGGTGCGGTAAACGGCAACGACCGCATTTAATACGATAATATGACGACACGTAGATACGTGGCAAGGTTATAATTAAAGTGTTTGTCTCTGGGAATTAGTCCCGCGCTAGTTCTGCCTTCGTGTGTCGCTTACGTGAAAATGCACGAGATGTCTTTATATCATACACCTATATGTATAGACGTGTAGCACGCTTCTATATACGATGTTCCAATTAACATCTGGCGCTTTTTTAAGTCATAAATTTGTAATGCGAGTTGAAACAATTTATCAATTAATTCTATAAAGCGAAGATTATGTCCAAACATTTTTATCTATCGTAAATAAAAATCTATAACTTTAACTGCAAAGTAAAATTTAGGTGTCTTAATAATATCCTAGAATATTCAGTTTCGTAATCGTTTTGTCCTCGGTTTTGTCCTTAAATCTTTAAGGCTCAATTTTTTCTTAGGATCTTTTTATTCAAGCCTTTGCTATTTTTTTACTCACTTACCAAGAAAAAATACAGAAACATCAACAATATAGGAATTTTCTTCCTATTGGAGCCTTCCTTGAAGACTCGAATTCTCCTTATATTTCCGATAACAATATTGAATTACAGCCTCTCTTGTTGCCATTGACCCAAACTTTGAGAGGCATCGCGTATCACTACACGGCTTCAGTATTATGAAAATAAGGATATTTTATAAACTACTACAAGAGAAAGACTTAATACTCCCGTATATTTTAAAGCTAAATTGAAATAACGTAATATGATTATAATATGTAAATGAATTTATAACATGTAAACAAGCAATGATATTTCATAATTTCAATATCTAAATACGGATGTTATATAAATTACCTAAGATCGAATATTAATATCGGCATATTAAATATTAAAAATAATTATGGATAATATGGATACGTCGATACCAATTATTATAATCGTATAAAAGTGACCAAAAAAAAGAAATTAACGATATTGATATCAAACTGTCCCTTGCATTAAATATTTCCGAAATATCGTAATTCCAAGTTGAATTTACTCTCGGAAAATAAATTTAAAAAACAGTCAAACAACTTCCTACACACACACAGCTATTACAAGAGCAAATTATAATATTAAACAAATTAGTTACTCCATCGACTTCGGTATTAAAACATTTCTTCAATTTATTGCTTTCAAAATGTATTACTCTCCAATTTATTACTTACAATTAGTGTTATTTAAAATAATAATGGTAAAAAATAGTGTGTACCATGAACATAAAATGCCAACACTTACTAATTACTAAGAATTTTAGCTACTCTTTCAAATTTTTTGAGGTAGTAAATATCATAATAATAATTAGCAAAATTGAAATATCTTATATTCTTTTGAAAAACAACATAAATAACGATGTAAACAAATATAAACAAGCTCTATTATAAATTTCTCTTTTTTATATAAAGTATGCTATTCATATTGGTTTGATATAATAAAATCAACAATCACAATTATTTTTTATTAATAATACATAAATATATATACCTTTTAAGATATTTAATTATATTTATATATATTGACAGATAGACTGTCTTGAGTTATAATTTAAATCATTTAATAGCAATTATGTTTTTAAGTGTCAAGTACAAATCTGTGTGTAAACATGAGTTTTAAAAATCAATGTAAAGGCCTTCAAGCCTAACACTATACGATCTTAAATATCCAAGGATTTTAATTTTACTTTGAAAGAATCTAAAAATTTTAAAATTTGATCATGTAGAATTATGAACGTCCAATAAATTCTCGACATATTTTACAAAATAATTAGGTTGCACTAACGTAATCTATCCTAAAAGCCGTTGACAAAATATTTGGCAATATAACATGTAAATAGGCTTTTAACAGTACGAATAAAAATGTAAAAAGCGTTGCACAGCGAGCAGACGAGCGACGGGCACCATTTTAACCAAATTGATCCGCGCGAAGTATTAAAATGCGGAAACAGACGTCGCACGGTCGTTTCAGTCGATATATGTGCACGTACGAATGCGGCCAACTGCATCCCCATGCGCGTGTGGAATAAAGAGCGTGACGGTCGAGAGAAAAGAGAGTAGGATAGAAGATTCGGAAAATTTCAATTCGATACTGAATAATCGGGAAATGCATTACGCGCTTGTATTATACCGTGAAAATAAACAACAACGCGGAAATGAGGTGTCGAAATGTAGGTCTTTCAGCTCTTCTCAAATTACTCGATTCTCAAATTAAACCAGAAAACTCTCGAGATCATGTTAAAAAAGAAGATTTCATTATTCATTTATTTATTCACTCTTTAATCCTTTCTCGTATAAAAACTTCCATTTTTCAATATTGAGTAACAATCTAGTTCAATTGGATGTTTAATAAAACTCTGAAATTGGTTTAATTTTTATATTGCAAATTAAATTGTCTGGCAAAGTCTGTTTGGATAAGAAAATTCTAGTAATTTTTTAATTTATAAAAATGACTATTAACTAAATATTTAAAACACGTGCAATGTTAATTTCTTTTACACGTGCAGAATTAATTTGTGAAAGTTGTTTATAAATTTTACAAATTATTTTTACAATTATTATTGTGTAATTAAATAAGAGATGCTAAGCTTATTCAATTTTTTAAAATTTTTATATTGCAAATTAATCTGCCCTAAGTCTATTTGCATAAGAGAATTTTAATGATATTTTAATTTGAAACTGGCTATTAGCTTAATACTTAAAACACGTGCAACGTAATTTTTTCTTGCGTACAGAATTAATTTGTGAAAGTTGTTTGTAATATTACAACTTATTATTAAAATTATTATTGTGTAATTAAATAAGATGTACACTAAGCTTATTATATAACAAAAATATTTCCGGGTTTCCCATTGTTCCCTTTCTCTTCAAAAATAATTTATATAATAAAATAATAAAATCTATATCCTCCACAGACAATAAATAAAATCGTCGAAACGTTAATTTTTGCCAATGAAATAATCCTATACATTCAACAAAATTAAAGCAAAGCTCATTTTATTTATCTAAAGTTGTCAATTTCTATTCTACATAATATGATTTCGATCGTCTGGTAGTCGTTGCAATAGGTACATACACAAAAGTAAACACGAATTTAAGCAATATTTCCATTCAAAACGGTGGCACATCTCTCTTTTTTCTTCCATCTCTTTCATTCGCATTTTCAGTTACATCCCCAATCCATCCCTGCTCCGTTCTTCTCTTTCTCTTGCACACGCGCACTCAGTGGCCATAAACTACTAGTATCCGACGCACGCTGAGGTTATTGGTTTTTCCAAAGGGCTTGACAGTGCCGTATACACGCTACTATATACGTGTACCTCTATCTTGCAAAGATAAATTTTATTCCTCAAAGAAAAATATATCTGATTTTTTCTTTTAATATTCGCGCAAATTTTCATTAACGGATCTTACATCACTAATATAATCAACGAAGCTTCAGGAAATAATGACAGAAAAAGAAGAGGAAAATCTCGAAGGAAGTTGCCCTTTATTTATTCAAAACATGAAGATTTATTTCATAAAGAAGGTAACATCGACTGACACTCTCATCAGTGTCAATCCAATGTGAATCAACTTGAATAAGAATGTAAGAATTTCAAAATAGTCTGCTTGTATTTCATTCCATTCTATTCGTATATATCACTTTTTATTTCACTTACTTTTGCTCTCAAAGAATAAAAAACGTAAAATAATTCAAAAAGATGTTCAGCGTGCCTATACGAGTATGAAATACTTCAACTGGAAAAAAAACATTTCCGAAATAAAATTTGCCTCTCCCTTAGGGTGGATGACCACATATCTACCTGAGCAACGTACATACAGAATAATACAGAGCACTTTAAACACAATTTAGGAATAGAAAACATTTAGAAATTCTACAGAAACATTTAAACAAGCATTTCTGTGTTATTATGCCATATTCGATTTTCATATGCAGTTAATGTAGTCTCACAGTGTGCTACGACGCGGAAAGAAAGTATTTTCAAATTCCATGTTTATGTAAATTTCACTCTTTTATCATGTACCACTTTCAGCGCATATTTTAGCCACACAGGGTTCAAAAATAATAATTTTGAAAATAATAACGAAAATAACGAACGTTTAAACATTTAAACGTTGGATCACATTCTTTACATTTTCTATATATTTCTTTATATTTAAACTCCACAGGAATACAGTATAAATTTCAGATAAACAGATCAATGCTGAAAACTTTATGTACAAATTGAAAAACAAATTAAGTTTACCGCAAAATAATATTCTACCGCAAAAATATTCATAGGAAACATTCTAAGTTTTATTTTGTTATAAAATTGCAAATTATGTATATTTTTCGAAAGAATTAATATAATTTTCGCGAAATTAAATGCTTTTCCGAAACCTGTGATTAAGTGATAAAACCGGATAAAACATATGACTGCGATAACGTAATTCATCCGTATTTTTTTGTGCGTGAATTCCTTCTGCAATTTTTGCAGCGTGTTTTTCACTGCACTCCGCGCATTGTTCCTCTTGGCGAGCGTTCGACATTGCCGTTGCTATCAACAGTGAATGAAGAGCCGCGAATAGCGACTGGTTTTACGTGCTCGTCTCCGCTCTAATTCGATTACACCATCCGGTACAATCTCCGTCTACCCAATGGCGTATTTATAGCCACGCGGATAATCCCTATACACTTTTCCGCCCTCGTGCGTGTCATTCGCACTCTTCGAAACCCCCTTATCTCGTCTTCGCGATACGTGTCACCCTATTACGCGTGACGCGTAGGACTCCGATCATCTTTCACGAATGATTCCGCCGAATCGATTCGTTTTTACTCAATTTCATGCATCACCAAATTTCACTAGATCTACCGCATGCCACTAAAGCTATACTCTTTCCTATCAGGCAAACTGTTAACTAGACATTGCCATGTTTTCCGGCGCATCAAAACTTTTATTTTGTACTTAATTTATTTTTCAATTGTTTGGACGATGTCAAACCGCACATAATAGATAATCGATATTGTATGCAAGATGTTTCATGTAAAGCGATACTTTTAAATGTTTAAGCTTATAAAACTATAAAAATGATATATAACTTATATATTTCTCAATATATTGAAAAATGTCTATTTATATTCTATTATTTTCTTCTGAAATTTACATGCAAACTTCGAATATCTCAACTTAAAAATATAGGGCGAATTTTTTAATTGACGTATTTAGATTTCGCGCTAAAATTATAGATTGAAAAAATTTCAAACAAAAATTGTATAAATAATAATTCTTTCTTTTACATAAATTGATTTACACAGCCACAGAACAGGTAGATTAAGGTAGGGTCATCAAAAGATTAGTAATTTACAAGATATTTATATCTTATTTTGACATACTTATCGTGATTTTCAAATACTCACTTTTCCATTAAAATGTTTGGCAAAGTTTTCACAAAATAATGATTAGAATCGATTAACGACTCTATTTTCATATAGCACAGGTGTAAAAATGTACTTGCAATGTACAACTATACTTTCCCTTAATGCTTTATAATATATTTTCTTTACCTCGATAGATTCGTTTCATTATTTCGTGCGTGCAAAGGTCTCAAGGCAAACGAGAAAAACATTACTTCAAATTAAAACACTCGTGTTTCAAAGTATTTACATTTAGAAACATTTAAAATCCATGCCACAGAGTTCTAGACGGTAGTGTGAGGCAAACAAGATACATATATGTCCACACTGCAGTGCATCTACAATTACTTACAGTTTTAAGCGCGTGTATAGGCATATGACTTCCGGTAGGCAATAAGAGGCTCGTCGCCTGGCCGTTTCTCTCTCTCTCTCTCTCTCTCCTCTCTCGGAACAGTTCTATCGCAGCTATCTCCACCTCTATCCCTTTTTCTCTCTTTTTCCCTCGATCTCACTCTCGCTCTCTCTTCGTGAATCCCGATCCTGCGTGACGTCCAGCGTGTCGGTACCTCCGTCGATCTCTCACGTGGCTTACGACATGCGTCACTGCCAGTTGGGCTAATACGATCCTCGATCTGCGCACGAACCAATCATACAACCGCCCGTCGGCTCTCCTTTCAGCAGCCTCGACATGTTTTATCGCTCCTTCTCAGCGATCAGTCCTATCCCGATCACCCTATCTGTCCTTCAGTGAGATCGACGTGTGATCCGCCCGATCTACGAACAGTTCGATCTACGCATCGGAGATTTAGATAACCGAGAGCCCGTCACCTGTCCGCCAATGTCAGCGGGCGGGGAAAAAGTAGCCGTTCTCGTATAGGATGCTGTATATGGATCAGTCGATTCGTTGTCTCGTCCACAAATGGACACCTATACTCCCGCAGAAACACGTTTCACTCTCGACCGCCCCGTAGTCTTCTCTCCATTCACTTTCGCTCGCGGGAGCGAACTCCTTCTACGAGAACATGTCGATGACGAATCATCAGAATGCTTGGTTTTTTGATTAAATGCTGCTCCGTACGAATAGATCTCTTTCGGCTCGCCGTAAACTCGAAAATGTTGCAACCTCGTTTTAATCCTTAAACGTTAAAACCTCCGTACATCGAATTTTTGATCCTTGATTTCTGGAACGGCTTGCTGATTATCATTTCCCAACCTTGGAAATGCTCCAGATTCCAGAGATTCGGGATAATCAGACGATTATGGTCGACTGTGATTGAGTTCTAAGGTAAGATTGCTATCACCTCGAAATTTTTAATGTCCAAGTTGTGCTGCATTCTGGAGCATCGTCGAGTTTTTGACTTCTCAAAATTGCAGCCCCCTCTCTTCTCTTTCCCTTTATCTCTCTTTATACAGTCAGCAACTGGAATATTACATTAAATTAGAACTTAAATCCTGATATTAAACATTTAGAGTCACTCGATTATAGACAATTAAAACTCCAATCCATTCGTTCCTCAAAACTCCCGGATTACCGAATTTTCAATTATTTCGATGTCCCAGTTTTCAAATCCGTCGAACCTTTAAATTTTTAACACTTTCGAAGTTCCGCGAAATCTTTAGATATTCAAATCTTCACGTTGACACGTCGACTTGCGGTGTATACGCGCCCGAATTACACCTCACATGAATAACGTACGGATGAAACTTGGAATCTTTAATAAAAGACGCCGAGACGCGTCTTTTAAACTCATCGGTTCAAAAATATTTTCAAGTTTTGACAAACTCCACTTGTTTCTTACGATAACGTACTCCGACGCACACGATTGGCACAATCAATTTCCCAAAATGACAGCCAACTCCTCGAGAATTATCACCAATTTCTTTTTTTAGAAATCACGGGCAACTTTCTGAAAAACCAAGCGATCCTTCGAAAGCACGGTTCCTTCAAAAAGTGCGGATTGACTCGGACAATGATGCACACATCGATCGTCGCGTACTTGAACGTCTCTCTCTCTCTCTCTCTCTCTCTCTCTCTCTCTCTCTCTAGTCTCTCTTCTCTCTCTCGAGCCGGAGGAGCACGGCGAGCCGAATTTCAAAGAACCCACGCACCACGATGCACGATATATATGAAATTTCACGCCGTTCGATTTACGAAAATTCGCGTTTGAAATTCGAACGCCGTCCGAGATCCGTACAGTCGTTGCGATACGTGACGCGCGACGCTACGCGAGGAGCGACCATATCGGTAGCGCGAGTCGCACGGAAAATCGCGAATATCACCTAACCTCACTCCGCGAGAGCACCAAACCTACTGAAGGCTGAAGGGAGATACAACAACGCAGTTCGTTCGCCGCTCGCCGCCGCGGCCAATGAGCCAACCTGCCCGCCGCGCCGTAGGTGGCGATGGGGAACGGTGGGGAGAAGCGCGCCATACGATGACGTCATGTGATCGCGAGAGTGGAATGGCGAGCCGGCGAGGGTGGCTCGATAGCGGCGCGCCGCGCTGATGGCGCGCTCTACCTTGCCGACGCGCGCCGTTCGCGAAACCGAATCGCGACGATGTTCAATTGTATATCGGAAGAGCTCGAATCTTTGCAGCGAAATTTATTTTTCAGGCGCAAAGTAGAGCCCGCTTCAACCGGATGCGGATGACATCGGTTTCTTTTATATTTTTGTAATTGGTAATCAGGATTGGGCGTTTGTGCGTAAAATATATAGGCTGCGTTCCGATATTCACTGCCAGTTTACGTCGCATACACTATAGATTTTTAGTACTGGCAGTAAATATATCGGAACGCAGTTATAGTAATCTATACATTGCATTTACATGTATATACAATATAAATTATGTTTAACGTCATGTAAACAATGAGTAATTATAATGGATCATCGGGCATTCATATCAATTCATTTTGTCAGAAATGTCGCAATGTTATATTTTGTTTACAAATTGATTTTTAATTAGTATTATCCATTTTGGGCACAATTTTTAGCATGTCACGAAAAATTAACAGATTAGCTCAGCGTAAATAATAATATTTTTATATGAATATCATATATCTTTTATATCACTGTACAGTTAATGAATAAATAAATTATTATTATCGAGATACATTTAATTGAATCCTAGTCTAAAGCTAATATAATTTTTTATTTTCTTAGGATTTGTGAAAGTAGTTTAAAAAATTAATTAATTAATCAGTCAGTTAATTTATAATAATTTACAGCTTATATTGTCTCGCGTAAACACAATGTAAACAATTCATGTAGATGTAATCTTGAAATTTACGACACAACTCTGAGTACGTACACAACTGCATACCGCATCATTGTCGATTATAAACCGGGATTATGCCATAAATTTCAAGATTACATCTACATGGATTATTTACATATTATGCTTACACATATGAACCTTTTTCATGTATACAATGTAACCAATGTATAATTATTATAAATTGAATATATATTATATTTCAGCTGATTTATATATAAAAACCTTTCATAAACATCGCATAAACGTTTCTATGTTATATATTTTTTAGCTTACCAACATTTTAGTGTTATTTAGAAATTTTTTGGAAACTTTGAAACGTTTCTGAAACATTTCTATTGAGTTTTGTGCTATGTGGGATATTATTTCAGCTGATTTATATGTAAACGTTTCAAATGTTACGTTTCTATGTTATGTTTTTTAGATATACCGACGTTTTAGGTTTTAGTGTTATTTAGAACTTTTTGGAAACTCTGAAATGTTTCTGAAACATTTCTATCGAGTTTTGTGCTATGTGGGAATGTATAGAAACGTTATTATTTATATACTGACCCGTGAGCTTTTAAACGATAGAAAGCAATATTGCTTAGTATACAGTTGCAGTATATTTATTTTTTTTTACAAATATAAAATCAAGATCTTTGAAATTATTGTTAATTTTTTGTAGCATCCTAAAAATTGTACCCAAACCAAATAGTAATTGAAAATAAAATTGCAAACAAAACTTCCACTATATTTCCGTTATTTCTGACGAAATATGAATGTTCCATGATATATAGATTAAGTACTCAGTGTTTACCTGAGTTTAACGTGTCACATTGTATATGCCATATAGATTATTATGTTTTACGTCCAACCCTGATTATAGTATTAAATTACACACACAATTTTCGCGTTATCAGCTTTAGTTGTTGTTTTGTTGTTGCATAACATTTTTTTTTAATTCTATCAAGTGATACATGATGTAACTATCTAATGTGAAAGAATAAAATATTGTAAAGAGAGTAATAATATATATGTCACAATATTTGCAAATTTGATTAAAATATGAGACGGCAAAACTGGAATTTTCAATAAGAGAACTTCTATATAACTTTTCTCGTCATCTTTCAATTAGCATACTGATTATTAAGTTTCCAACTTGATACGTATTTCGGTCATGTAAAATTTTTATATATACAAATATACACAACAAAATTACTTAGATAATAAAATAATTTAGATAATAAATTTTATTGAATACAAATTACGAAGTAGAGCCAATTATTAATTAAAATGTGATCTAATAAATATACATATGATTCCATTGAATGCATACAATACGCGATTATCACGCCAGACATATGGATCTCATTCGATTGATCCATAGACAACAATTATAGTTACACGATACAGCGTACTAGTTGTCGATGCAGTTACGATGCGGTAGAATGTAACATTTACTATATGTAAATATATTTCCTAGCTTCTCTGCAACTGCATCTACCACCGCAATGTACTTACGTATATCTAGCGTCGTCAATTATTCCTCAATCGATTAACAAAGATGGGAAATTTCTCTTTTCTACAATTCTATGTATTACTCAGCATTCATCAACGTCGTTTAAGGGGGCTTTATAGGGGGGTCTATTGCACATATTTTCAAGAATTTTTTTGTCATAGTAAAATGTATTGAAATATCTCGAAATTTTTATATATTTTCTCACATATATTGAAGTAAAAAGAAACAAAATGGCGGATTTTTTTAGTTGCAAAAAACTGCAAGATATTCGTCGAGATATTCAAAAGTCCGCCATTTTGTTTTTTTTACCCAAAATGTTTAATTCTAGTACCGGCTATAGCCACTTACTTATATTTTAATATCCCGTTTGAATTTTTTATTTCAGACGTTTCTAACTCGAGATATCATGTCAACCAGATTTCTATGGGATACCCTTACATTTGTCGCCATAAATAAAAAAAAGAAAAAAAAATTTGTTTATGTACTTCAACATATGTGAGAAAATATATAAAAGTTTCGAGATATTTCAATACATTTTACTATGACAAAAAAATTCTTGAAAATATATGCAATAGACGTATAAAGCCCCCTTAAGAAAATAAAAAAATTTACCACATAATGGTAGCTTTATAAATAAAACTATATATAATTCTTAATATTATATTAAATGCTAATTAAAAGAACACGTGTATTATCTGTAATAGTAATTAAATTAAAACAAACTCGTATTTGTTATCAATTATTTATTAGCATTAAATTAAAATTTAATTTATTACATAGCTGGATTAAAAAAACGCAATAAAGTAATAAAATTATTTCTAATTTATTTTTATAATCTCCTTTTACCAGAATTAATGTTTTATAATTATTTTAATTAGTACATAATACATTAATTGTATTAATTGTATATATAATATGTATATGTATATTAAGTTGTGCTCAATTTGCTAAGTTGTTAAAATAAAAGAATCTAATTTTATATGTAAAATATATTTAAAATAATATAATAACTATCAAACATTAGTAAAAATATGTATTTTTTTGTAATGTTAATTGCTAGTTTCATAGTTTAATGCATAATTTAATTGCTATGCAAGACAGCAATAACGCCAATACTTTTAAACAAAAATTGGAACATTAAATTCCTTGTCATGCATCAAATTTGGTGAAAGTTACCAAAGTGAGAAGTCATTTTCGTAACTCTTATTCTTCGGGATACACATTTTCGATCCCTAGAATCATTTAAATTATTAACATTATAGCGCATTGTACTTGTTACTTAATATTGTCATTGTATTTACAGTGATACTTACAAGTAAATCTTTTTAATTACTTTTATATCTTACTTCTTTCCGTTTATCTTTTCATATCTTACATGCAAACACGTAAATTCACGATGTAGAGATTTTTCAACTTGAAAATTTTTAGCCTAATATTTTTTCGTTTTTCTTCGAAAATAATGATTTCTTCGTATTTCTTCGAAAATAATGATTCTAGAATAATATCCTAAACTGAATATTATTTAAACATACAAAAAGTTGCAAGATCCATAACATATCGCGTAATAAGAAAATACCTTAATGGCAATCGTTCCATCACGAGCGCAATTTTTTCGCTTAACAAATCATAATTTAATTCGATATTCCTGTACCGTATATAGTCTTCCAGATTTATCGGAACTGAATGACGATGCATTAGCGATAGAAGAGTACGGAAACGAGATGAGGGTAACGAGGGTGGAAAATTGAGAGGAAGCGCTGACTAACCCTCCGTCTTTAAGTCCTCCTTCTCCGCTCCTTTTTCTTCTCTTCTTCCCCCCATTCCTTCCTCATTTCCTTCTCCAACGAGGGCCCCTCAAGACGCGATAACGAATCAATTGAGATCTGAATCGAGCTCAAATTCAGATAAGTGGAACCTAGACGCCAACTAAATAGGTAAGAAACTGCGATGGGAATAACGAGGATTCGAGAACTGCCCCTGTCAATCACGCATTAAGTCTCCGCCACTTATGATTGCTATTACTACAGTTTCGTTAAGAAAGGATCTCAAAGTAATTCAAGAATCTTATACTGGATAGACGAAAGCTGAAATTGAAACCTTATTTGGTGCTACAATTTCTCAATTCTTAATAAACGAAACTTTCCGGAGCTTTGTTTATAGAGATGAAAATAAAGAATTGAAATGAACAACTCAACAATCTGAGATCCCCCCTATGGCGAAGCGAACGTTCCCGATCGTCAAAATCTCGAACAAATTATTTCGTCGGTAATTGCAGCATGTCTCTGAGACGTATCACGATTCTGGACACGTATTCCTGAAGAACCGGCTGTCGCGCCTTGCCAACGTCCATCACTTCCTCATGGTTCGCTTCACCGTGATCCTCGTATTCAGTGACGCACGAATTGGTGATTAAACTGAATGCGAACACGGTGAGATCGCAATGCCGGGCGGTGATCACTTCATGAACCGTGGACATACCTAAACAGTGACGTCAACATGTGTTATTACACATAAAAATAGCTGTACATAAAGAAAAATATTACATATATATTATATATAATGAGAAGAAGTATAATTTAACTTTAACAAATAAAAGCACACAAGTTCGCAATAAAAAAAATAAATTAAAGTGTAAAGAAAACGAAGGAAAGAATTAACGTCTCTAATATGTCTATTGAGTCTATTAGAGTTTATTCTGTTAGAGACGTTAATGTGTAATTATATAATAATTATACATATAATATATAATTATATAATTATACATTAATTAGAGACGTTAACTACACATTAACGTCTGTAATAGGACAGAATGCGACCATTTGCCAGTGACAAAATAATAGTAATCACTATCTCACCCTTTGAAAATTATTATATGTAAACCATTTCTTTATTATTAATTATTATGTATTTTAATGCAAAATATATTTCAACGTAAAAATACAACCATTCATAAAAATGTTATAAGAGGACTAATTTCATCATTACAATTTAAAGGTCATTCCGTTATCTCATTCATTCTATAGATATAATTGCCCCACACGACGTTATGCAGATAAGTGGGCGAGTGATTGCAAAACACTTAAATTTATCATCAGCTGTTTTCAGTGCAGCAAAAAGGCTTAATTGCTTATCAATGAATCAGCATACACGTGATATTATACGAACTCAAATATTGTTGTAACGTCAGCATTGAATGTCTCTAACAGGATTTTGTACTGTATTGACATTTATTGGTATTTTTAATTGGTATTTTGAATGATTAGAGTGTCGTTTGTGTAATAACAGCTAAGAAATTAATGTTATTTCATATCTTTTGTTTCAAACGTATAATATACTATATTAATTTCTTCAATAACAATTAACTATTTCGTTTTCACTGTAACCACGTGGCTACATACATTTAAAATTATAAATTAAATATATATCATACCTATATTTTTTGTGAAGAGTCATAAATACAATAAGAATTTGCAAAATTATAACTTTCTTGAAACATTTTTTTAAGACGGACTTGGATAAACCAAAGAAACTAACTTTGCAATGTAAATTGTTAGATATACGTAGTTACAATACGCTTGCAAACTGGCAGCAAATTCAATCAGAATTTTAGATTAAAATTCTGTATCCCCGTTCATCTTGTATTTTGCTCGCAAAATTTGCTGTTTATAAAATGAAATGTTTATAAATTGACGCCAAAAACTGCATAAAATTGAGCGTAATCTAACAGTAAACAGACTGTAAAAACCGAGCAGGAATATGCATGGCACAATACAATAGTAAATTGTCAATGCGTTTAATACTAGGCTTAATTATAATTGATAAATAACTGCGACGTACCAACGGCGTCGACGCCGACCATTCGCAGCATCTTCAACTCTGCTACCGTCTCGAAATTGGGCCCACCCAAACACGTGTAAACTCCCTTGTGTACGATATCGCCAATACCCATTTCTTCAGCTTCCTGTCTACCGATCTCCATCAACGTGGCGTTGTAAGCCTTGTTCATGGGCGGAAATCGAGGACCAAATCTGAGAAACAAAGAAACAAATATATGCTAAGAACAGAAGAATGTTAAAATAATAAATAACGAATAATAATTAAATAATAAAATCGTGATTTTTATACTTTGAATGAATATTTCAGACATTAATTTGTTTGATTTAATTGCCTGTCCTTCTTAAGAAAGAAAGAATAAAAAAATACATTTCTTTGATTCATCATATAGATAAAAACAAACATAATTTAAAAACCTTTAAAGAATCACGTTGTTTAACAAATTCAAATACTTTCGTTGTAATGTCTACGGGTAAAAACATTATCGAAACTCACCCAACTCATAAACGAGCGATTGATAAACTATTTGCACCGATCGACGTATTTGCTCTGTTAAGTTTTTCTACGTTCTACCTTACGTTCTACCATCACTCTTTATCTACCTTATTTCAACCTCTCCTCCACCCAATTCCGTTATTTTTTCTACATTTTTTATCAACATCCTCTTACAATTGCTTAAAGTTGAACAATTCTTTCCGTTGCTAGTTGTATTCGTTTTTTGTTTCCAAGCAAAATTAATTTAATTTTTCATCACAGTCGATTATAAAGACCTTTCTACAGGACTAAAATTTCCTTGACACGTTAACTGTGCCACGCGAATTTTGTACGTTTTATTCTAATTGTAAGTATCACAGTAGAATATTCATTATTATGATCATATAATGATAAAATATTGAATAATATGATTAAATAAGACTGTATTCTCGTGAATATTACATTGAATAGCACACTTTTTACTTCATATTGTTATCTAGCTATCTGTGTCATCTAAAATTCTATATATGTATAAGGTGGTACTTATTTTTTACAAGCATTTTAAAAAAATTGGTAACGCCGGTCCATCAATGATTACCACGGTCTCACTAAGAAAACAGGTGACCATCATAGCAATCAACGTGTTAAACAATCCACTAGATATAATTTAACTATACTTATGTCGTACATATTGGTAAAAAAATTCGCAAAGAGCGCGAATCCCACCTGTCGTCGTTCGGTCCTTGAAGCGGGTTGTTACCGGCAAAACCCATCATATTCACATGATCCTTCACTATCATGATGTCACCGACTTTGTAGGTGGGATTTAGACCGCCGGCCGCGTTTGTAGCGATTAGATGCGTCACTCCTACCAGCTTCATCACTCTCACCGGCATGGCGCACTGCAAGCAGCCATTGTCACACGTCTCGATAAATACAATACTTTATCATTTGTTTTTACCCAGAGATTGTAATTGCAGTGTAGCCAGTCGTACCTTCCAGAGTGGATAGCCTTCGTAATAATGAAACCTGCCCTGCATGCACATGACCGGTACGCCTTGAAGATAACCGAAGACCATCTGGCCGGTGTGGCCTTTTACCGTGGACACCGGAAAATGTGGGATCTCTTCGTAGGGGAAGCATTGCTTGTCCACGAGGGATTCCGCGATCGAACCTGGACACAACTCGTTTTGCTCATATGATCCTGTTTAGGAATAAACACAAAGCTGTGTGATAGGATATACCGTCACCGGAGATCCCGCAGGGCCGTTTAGATTTGTTCGAAGCAACATACGCACACTCACATAAACCATCGTTAAACCCGTTAATCTTCAATAAACGTCTTTCTGGAAATCTTTCGGTGTAGAAGATTTTAGACGCTAACTGATCGGAGTAATTTTGGAAGAATTATTTATACCCCTTTCAGTGTAGAACGAGCGATAAATAACATTATTAAATGTTCTGGTATTCAATTCTGAAGATCTCGCATGCCTCGTCGATTAATCCTTTCCTGAAGCCATAATCATTCCCGAGAAAAGGTAGATTAATTTGTTCCTGAGAACCTTTAAATACTTTACAATGACTTTAGCTTAATACGCGCGTGCAACACGCTTGCACAGTCAAACGTGACTATTCGTGCTTTAAAGTCTTGCTTTCTTAACATAATTAAAGTTATTACGTGTAAACAGGATCAAAACCAGATATAGCTGTGCTTAATGCTAAGCGGAATATAAGCGTGAAAAGCACAAAATACATATAAGAGTGGAATCGTAATTAGGCAGACGTTACTAATTTTGCTGTAGCAATACTTAATAAATATTATACAAATAATAGCGCGTAGAAATATACATTTTAAAATCGTTTATCACGATTATTTTTTCACAAACAACTTATCTTCTCAATTACAATCTGTATAATAGAGCTGGCACAAAACTTGGATAAATTAGCTTCAGAAGCACCGTGTACATTAAAGTAATAATATGCAGGAATTTAGGATATTGCATTATTATCTTGTTGTATTTATAAAAATTCCCAAATAATGTCAAATATCAATTTTTTATTCCAAATAAAAATAATAAAGTATTTTCATGTCTCACACCATTAGCGACGTATCAATTAGACTTGATTAAATAAACAAACGTTTAAGATCCATAAACTTTCAAAAAGTTGATTCTACAAAACATTGGTTTTGGATTATTGGTAATGGATTAGGCGTGCCGATTTATATCGACAATGAATAAGATTATATCACTTGATAATCCAGTAAACGAATCGTGTATATAAAGCACAAGAAGTGTGTAAAGTACAAGAAAGAATATATGCAATATTACTAACCCATTCCCGAACCGCATATCACCCCTATCTTCGGCCTAATCTTGATGCGGTCCAGTAAGTATTGCGCTGACTCCTGCAATATTTCGAAGGTGTACCTGAAAGACATAAAATTGCATTTCGTATTTATTGCAATAAATACAAGCACGTTAAATTGTCCACGATCGAGCGAGGGTCCATATTAAACACTCAAATACAAGCTTTATTATATAACTACTTATTCATTACTTGTACACGATCGATATAAAATTGTAAATGTAAATACTTGTAATATTGAGACAACTCATAATTTTCGTAACTTTCTTACATTTAGCTTTTTCTTTTAATGTTTGATCTTTGATCTTAATTATGTAAATCAACCCGTATGAGGCCAAGCTGCGCTGCAGGCAAGAGGGTTGCGAAGGAACTCTCATTATCAAACCCGCGCGCGATCGAACGTGGCCGGGGAGCCAGTCGCCTTCTCTCTCTGCGCCGATATCAGAGAGACATATTAAAGCGTACTCAACAGATTGGTACTGATTAAGCGGACGTCGTACCCGTTGCTTTAGCTTACACGATCGCGCAGCTATATTAAACGTCCCATCATAATTGTATGTAATTGCGTACCTGGGCTTTGCGGTAATGACAACTATGGAGACCAGCCACCGTGGGTATAATAATTCATATCCCGATCCGACGATACAAGTAGTTTCAAAAGTTGGATATCGCGAGTATACGATTACTTGATACGACGAGTTTGACGTTTTATCATAATTACTGCAGTAAAAGACAAATTATGCACGCGCAGTGTGCGTCACTTCCACTTTCACATGTCCATCCGCCCACCCCGTTCACACACACACGCGTACATATGCACAACAAAATTAAAAATAAAGATAAATACGTTTATTGACTCCCTTCAGGATTGCAAGGCGTTTTGTAGGGACGTTCCCAACCCTTTATTCCATTCTCATTCAATACTACCCTTTCTCCTCTCACTTAACCCTTTGGACCAACGGCTTAACGTCTCTTTCCGAAAGACGGAGCCCAGTTTGCTCCGCACAAGAGCCTATCTTGCACGAAGGGCGCAGTTTTTCGGAAAAAACTTTCCATGTTACATGGCTCTAGTGGACTCGAATCTGGTTTCTCAGATTACGACAACAGAGTTTTTGAATGTATTAAAAATTATATTAATATAAATATATTAATAAACAGAGATGTGCCTTTTCCAATCGGACTGGATCTTTATAGCCTTTTTTGTGTTTTAAATAAAAGAATGAACACGCTCGTGTGTATCGTGTGTAAAATTGAAAGGAAAAGAGCCAATAACCCAGCAACAATAACTGTTAAATAAAGTTAAGTGTTAAATAAAAGCTGTTAAATAAGTTAAATAAATAAATAACGGTGAACAGTACATACAATTTTATGTGTCAGGTAAACCAAAATAAATTAAATTTTACAATTAGCTAGTTCGTCAAGTACCTATGTAACCTATGCTAAAATATGAATCATCAATTCCTGTGTTTAAATTTACTCTTGAATAAACATTTTAATCTCAAATTAATCTCTTTAAAAATCAATTTAAGAGGGTTGTTCAATAAAATATCAATAACTATTTCTAAGTTCTTTTTATAAAACATGGAATGAGACAATAAGCTAGCTCTGTCAACTAAGCTAAAGATCGTGCCTATCTTGTGGTAATCCGGGTGATTAGAAAAACATGAAAGGCATCTGCCTGAAAACGTTTTTTTTTTGTGATGCCAGTCTATGTACATGTATAGTCTACGATGTATAAAAATAGATCTAAAAAATTTAAACAACGGTTATTCTCATATTTCACAGCAAACTTATTAAGTCTTTTGTGATAATTATTTAAAAATGTCTACGATGTTCTGAATATTATCGCACGGCGCTGCTAAGATTATATCATCCACATAGCGGCGATACAAAGTTAAATCTAATTCGGTTAGTTTTAGTGGTGTTTTCTCTAAATCTTAATTGCATCACGTCAGCGATAATCGGAGATAGTGGAGACCCCACTGCGGTGTATCGTAGATTTACTTATAATGTATATCACGTTATTATAAAGGTGAAGTATGTAGATGATAATACAAATTCAAGTGCAGATAAGAACTCTTTTTTCGGTATTTTCGTTTCCTTTTTTAAATATCGCCACATCGATTGCTGATACCCTTGATTGCTGATACCATTGATCCAGAGGAATGTTTATGAACAATAACGTTACATCTAATAAAACCAAGATGTCTGAATGAGAGTTTTTTTTATTAGAAAACTCTATAAAGATCAAAACTGTTACTCACATATAACTATCTGTATTTTTTGTGTTTATTTGTATACATTTTTCCACTGCGCGCCAAATTACTTGTCGGTTTTGAAACCGAATTTCGTTGAAAAACAAATATATATTACATTGTTCCTAATGAAACTATCGGGCAAAATTTTCTATCAAATTACGCAAGCTTCGTACATGGAAAAAAAATGATATTGTATAATATCAACAGCATCAGTGTAATCAAAATGAAATCTATTAATGCAACATCACACACACACACACAATATTAATGAACAAAAAACATCAGATTGTTGTTTTAATAATTTAAATATTTGGTCGATTAATATTTCTACTTGTTAAATATTTGACCCAATAATATCCAATTGAATTAACTATTTATGTTTGTGGTAGCCCGTGACTTTGACGTTTAATTAAAGCAACTTCTTTTTTTTAATTAAATTTTTTTTCCGTATATATAATACATATTTCATTATCATCAATTTTTGCTCAAGTTTTCCAAAGTAAGCTATTTTTAAAAAAGAATGCGCATCTCGGAACTTAATTAAATTCGAAAATCTTTATACGGAAATATCATTACTACATTGAGTTATAAATGATTAAATATGTACATTCACATCGAATAAAATTGGTGCGCTCAGGGTCGTAATTACGCATACACGCTTGTGTATATTATTACATTCACTCTATTAATTTTCATAGATTAACCGATATTGATTCTCATCGCACGACTGATCTTGTTTTTTAGTTTGTTATGCAAATGCCGCGCGGCGTGTGACAATTATTGCAAATTAAAATGAGATTTGAATTTTTAATTTATACTAATGCATCTTGATTATTTCCTTATAAAAAAGTCCCGAACAGAAACCAGATTTCACTTCCGCGTACAATTCCAGATGGGACATATGAAATATGCAATAAGGAAATATTCGTACGAGATAAAGATAATTAAATAGGTGTGCCGTGGATTTCCATTTTTTTTTTCTCAAATCAGTCGATATTATACTTAACGTTTGAATGAAATTCCTTATAGCTATCAAGCTTTGATGCTTGTGCCAAATTGTCAAAGGCGCAAAAAGGAAATGCGAATATCAACTCGACATACAGTTTTAAAAATGAATAATTATTTTATTTTTTTAATAGCACTAAAATATATAAATTATTGATCTTCTTTATTGTAGTTCCACAGTTTTTTCTTTAAATTCCTAAAGTTTTGAACCTTGGATCACGAATTCTTCGTTTTTATGAATTTTTAAGTTAATCAGCTCCTAGAATTATTAAATATTTTTTAAAATTTTGGTTTAAAAAATTTTTTGAAATAAATAATTGTAATCTAAAAAAATAAAATTCTTGGATTTTTCTACATTTAATTACTTGAACGCTTAATATTTTGATCCTAAAGTTGAATCTCAAAAATTTTATACACCTTAATGTTTCGCATTTTGTGAAATTGCGGACACCAAAATGGCCAAATAGTCGCAAGTTTCAATTACTACACTCGGGTTGTTATATGCGCGCCCGTTCACTTCAATTCACGGAAATTTTGCGTGTGCATTTGCGCGCGTGTGTGCGCATACAAGATAGATGAGTTCTGTGTAAATCTGGCATACTCGGTGTAACTAAAATATCAGAAAAGAAAAAAAAACAATAATATGTTTAGAGACATTTACCAATGTTGTATTTTTATTTTCTCTATTTTTTATTATTTATACATTTCTTATATATTTATTTCAATGCCTTATTTTGTCTTAATCAGAGATAATTGACACGTATTATAGATTCTAATAATAGTTTTTACCGCTAAAGAAGACTTAGTACAGTCAAAACGTTCGGAATTATTTAATAAATTATATATTTTACTATAAATAAACATAAATTATAACTTTGTTACATCTTATTATGCTTGTTTTTGACTGTTACCTCGTATATAGCTTTGCTTGTAACGAGCAGATAACATTAGTTTAGAAATATATTTGGCATAAATTCATATATTAATTTGTCTATCCTGTATGTCACCTCAATGTCGAAGAAACTCGATTAAGAATTAAAAGGCGTCTACCTCTTTTCTTTAAACATTATGAGGCAAGAAAATGCTATACTCTATTTCACTTTTTTATTGCTTCTAACATTTCATTTATTAACACGTTCGCGTGAAATATGATTGACTCGCTTAGAATTTACCTCTTTAATCTATTCTACGTATGCAAAAGTACATTACATAACAAGAATGAGACTATTGGAAATGTAAAAATGTGACTTGTAGCGCACGTTTTTCCATGATGGTGAACGGCTGTTAATGCATCACCGTCAACGGACAAAAAGTGACTAATTACTCAAAGTAATGTGTCATTCGCAATCAATATAACGGCCGTTCAAGGTAAATAGATCGATTTATCCGGAACTAATTTTCTCCTTGAACAAGGAAAAATTAGTTACGGATAAATCGATTTTTCTCGTGCGCGAGTACGAGCAAACATCACGTCGAATTGAAAGCAACTTCTTTATTCTAATATACTCGTACATTTTATTTTTTTAATCAGCATCAAAGATCAATCTTTCAAAGATTTTTGTTATAGACACTGAAATATCTATCTCATTGCAAATTGAGAAATTCTAGCACCTACAGAATGAAATACGTATATAACTCTTACATAATTTTCAACACTCCTATATTGACACATGTTTTTGTTTCTGTCAAGCAACAATTTCACGTTTTTTGCTTCAATCAGAACCGTTGTATAACTTGTTGATAGCTACAAGGCCTCGAAATGGCTCGCAACTTTTTCCCGAGCACCACGTATATTCGCGAAAACGCGCTTCGCACACGCATACGTATTCCGATGCATGATTTGTAATACCTCTGAAGCCTATGTTACGCATTTAGCTTAAATCCGCTACTATTTGAGCTTGCCGGTAGTTTAGCAGGTAACCGCATCGTTTTGTACCAGTTTCAGAGCGAAATTACATCGAATTATAGCGAGCGCGCGAGCGTACGCCTGCATGGAATACTTCGTTCATTCGATTTGCGTCATATTTGTGAGAAGTAGAATTAACTCAACTAATTTCGCAATATTGGTAATCGTCAGTAGACGGCAATAACAAATATCATTTGTATACACATTTTGACTCGCGGATTCTTTCCCAGGTAGTACATATTAGTTTCATATACGTTTTTTGAACGTATACATAGTTTCATAACCGTAAAGAACCATTAAGAAACGTTTGAACAAAAATGTTTTTGAAACCATGGTTTAAGAAACGTATTTTTTACGTTTCTACAGCTAACAAAAATACCTGTTTGTCTGTTTTCTTTCAAAATTATAATTTGCTTTATCTATATACATACTATATACATATATATATATATATATATATATATATATATATATATATATAAATAAAATAGCTTTAATAGCCTTTTTTGAAACATTTAAATTGATATTGCACTAATTATTGCACAAAATAAGTCATTTTATCCATGCACATATATCCACTTATTTACTTAAATTAATTTTGTCCTACCGGTCTTAATCTATTTATCATCGGACAAATCTGAGCTTAGAAAACTCCCAACAGTTGCAAAATAAACGTTCTGCTGAACGTGGCCATTGAAAGAACATTTATACGTGTGTTCCGTTTTGAAGAACTTCCTGAACTGGTGCACATTAGTAATGCAATTAAGTTAGAGTGAGACAAGTATATTTTGCTTCACTTTAACTTATTGCACGAATGTGCACCAGTTCAGGAATTTCTTAATTCGAAAAAGAATAGACGTCATAGATGGTATGCATAAAGCTTCTAGAACATGTCTCAAAGACGTCATAAACACGTTCAAAAGACGTGAAAAGTAGGAATTTTAAATGTCTTTATCTAAAATGTCTTTATCATTAAAACAAAACGTTTCTATAATAGTTTTTTAAACGTTATTTTATCGGAAAAGAAACGTTCCATCGAACGTTTTTCGAATGGACATTTTTACTCGAGAAACGTGTCTAGAAATCGGTCATAAAACGTTTCGGAAAAACGCTTATAAAACATTTCTGAAACGTGTATGTGCTACCTGGGTTTATATTTTGCATATATTTTACAATTATGTCTAATTACTATCCCACGTTAAAATGTGCTTATAAAAAATATTTAAATAAAGTTTTAAACAACAAGGAAATTTATATTTGACACTAACTGGCAAAAATCATTTATTTGTATATCTCACGACCATTGATTTTGATCCTTCTCAAGTGTAATTTTAATTAACATAATATATATCGTATACAACCAATCCTACCCAGGTAACAGAATAACGTCTAAAGACGTCTAATTGACGTCTAGAAACGTCATTAAGACGTTATTAAGACGTCACTCTGCTACCTGGGTACAAATTAGAGAACTTAGGTTTCGTGCACAAATGACACAATCGAGCTTTTTAACGCCAATAATTGATGATAATGGAATCGATAATGTAAATCAAGTAACAAAAATGTTTATAACTATTCCTTACATTAAGAGTCTTAGTGAGAGAATACGTCGTATCTTGAAGAAATTGTGATTTCCGCGTACTTTACACAGTCCCTAAAAAGCCCGATTGTGTCATAAAGAAGAGCAAGGACAAACTTAATAGTTTCAAATAAACCAATGTAGTTTACAAAATCAATTGCACAAACTGTGACGACACTTCTATATTGACGTCATCAAACTAAAAGGCACCTATAGATACGTAGCATCAAGCATTAGGACATTAGAAAGCATACTAATAACCATTCCGTCGTCAATAAACACTGCCTACAATCATTAATTTGAATAGTTGAAAACTGAGATTCAGATCTTACATGGTAAAAAACAAACCAGAAAACGTGAGATCGCTGAGATGTTTTTCATTAAAATGTTGTGTTTTCAAAAAAACACAACATAATTAATTTGCAAAAAGACACGGATAATTTGACCGGGACTATAAAAATAGGAACCCCTTTTTTATTTTACTGTGCAATTATAGTCGCAAATACCAAATATTTTTTTCTTAGCGTATAAGTTCTCTAATTTAAATTATGTATTATTTATTCCTTTATTATAATTTCAACTGATTAATGTAATTTTTAGTTTCTTGACTTCTGGCTTGCTGGGCACAATGCTATAACTAGGATTGGTTGTATACGACATGTGTAAATTGAAATAATAGAGAAGAACCAAAATCAATAATCAAAACGTCGTGAGATATACAAATAAATGATTTTTACCAATTAGTGTCGAATATCATTTTCCATGTTATTTATTCGCTGACGAAGAAAAGTTCTCTTTCTTATTTTACAGTTTTTAAAGCAGTTTATTTTTACTTAATTTCTTAGGAATGGACTCGATAACATTTTAATTTGCAAATTAATTACAAAGATGTTCAAGAATAAATGTTACCAAAGTTAAAAAGATATGACTTCCAATAGAGCTTTCAAAAATAAAATATTTTTTTGCTATTTCTTTTTAATATTTTTTTGTTAAGACATCTTGCATGTTAGATCTTTGATATCGATGACACTTGAAATTCTATGAGAAACAATTTAAATGGGACTTACGTGTGTCGCTCCTGCTTCACGTTTGTTTGCAACACATCGTTATTGGTCAACCGTTTGACAGCCGAGTAGCTGTCATGACCATTGGCGGTTTCCGGAAACGGCATTTTTCAATATCGAATAACTGCGATTGGAACGCGGATCGAACAGCTAAGATCGAACAATCGACGATTGATAAAAATATGAAGAAACGAGAAACTTAATCGCGATCAAGCCGCGTATATATATCGCGTGCTCACGACAAGTGGCTGGCGTGACTTTCGTAAGCCTATTTTATAGAGAAGTTCAAACGCTGGTCAAAAGAAAAACGTGAGCGCGAAGAGCCCGCCAATGGTCTTGGACATGGATGAGCGCGACGACCAATCGGCGTACGTACGAGTCGCGACACACGGGGTGCTTGCGCGGGTATGTGAAAACCAGGAGTGGGGAGGAGACGTATACGATGATAACCCGTTACACAGTGCAAGTGGTCCAATTATTGTTATTTGTTTCGACAACGACGTTGACGTCGGCGAAGCGCGAAATCTAGCGCAACGCAATGTCGGAATAATATTTCAGTTGACGAACAAACTGATTAAGTTTATCTCGAGGAATATAGAGAAACGCGCGCTCGGAATATTATTAAATATACCGCATCGAGGAAATAAAAACATTTAAAGATAAGTAGAGAGTGATCTACGTTAAAATATCTCCATCTATCTAAAAATATCAATCTGCTATATCTTTATAATTCAATAGTGTTATAATAGGTTTAATTGCAGATTTAAATTTATTTACTACCTTCAATATTAAAAATAATGATTAATTAATTTTTTCAATTTCTTGAATGATAATAAGAAATTAATAGCTATATAAATAATTAACTCAAGAATTCATAATTATATCTCTGAACTTAGAATTATAACACAAATTCAGAATTATAATGAAGATTTTCAATTTTAATTATATAATTTTTTATTCTTATTTTTATTTCTACATTGGCATATTTATTTTTTATTGTTCTCTTAATTTTTTAAATATCTATTTCGTAAAAGATTGCGAAAATTCTTTGTTAAAATAATCTAAAGTAGATATGATAGAGAGTAAAACGTTACTCATTCTTGTGCTAATTTTCTTTCTATTGATTCTCGCCGGAGGATATCGCGCGTTAATAGGCAAGCGCAAATAAAACGTGACATATATGACATTCGCGACACGAGATACTGTCAAATAGCTGCTATGCTCTCGAATAAGGCACATTTATACATGGTGATGCATACTCCCAAGGATACGTTTATCTATTCGTATCTTTAGCAAATTCATGTTAAATCAAATTAAATTAAATACTACGCTGGCCAATATTATTAATTAACACTCTAAAATCCAAGTCTCTATTTACTGAAAGAAAAAGATCTAGATTTTTTTCTCTGTAACTCTTTAACCTAGCCAAATCTTGACTTTTTTTAAAAAAGTCAAGATTTGGCTACTCTTTTTTTAAATTAAGATTTTTCTAAATTTTTGAGATTTTCTCATTAAATTAATTACTAGCAAAATGTATCAACGAAACCAATTAAAGAATCATTGAAAATTGTTGAAATATCGGCACGATGTTTCTTATTTAACTGAATTTTTGAAATTGCTTTCCAAACAAATTGTTACAACTGATCGATATTGAAAAGCCGTCTCGCTCGACCGAAATCGCTAAAATGCATACTTTCCTTACTACAATATTATTCCAGTTAAAAACGTCTTCCTGTATAAAGTCGATCCTGATGAGGTGTTGGACGAAAATTCAACATATGATTGGAGCACAAAATCGAACGTTAAGCACCAGCTGTATCGTATAGATAAGATAAGAAATCTCATGACGAAATAAATGTAAAATCAGGATAATACTTCCATTAATACCTCTTACGTCATTCTTTTTCAGATTATTTTAAATACCGAATATGCCATAACACATACACACATTGCGTTTTATTTTGTACAAAAATATATAGATTAAACCATGAATAGTAAAGCACAGAAAGAAAGAGAAAAAAAGAAAGAGAGAGTTGTTTCAAATTTGAAGCATTGCGACTATAAAGATGTTATTAATCAAAAAGTAAAAATTTTTAAAAAATTTACTTAAAAAATTGAACAGATAAAAAATTTCTGTTGTTACCGTCTTCAAGTGACTCTTACTTATTATAAGAAGTTTGTTTTTACCAATCCTAATTAATAAGATATTAAATATAATAAAAATTTAAGTCATTATGATAAATAGTTGTCTTATTTAGAAAGTTCTTTAAGAACAAATTAAAGATGTTATTATAGTTTTAATAATCAGAAAGAAGAAAATATTAAAGAAAAAAGCATAGAAAAAATTTATTCAAATTTTGTTTAAAAACTTATAGCAGGAAACTGTTCCTAAACATTAAGATATCTAAAATTATCTAAAACTATCTGAAGTTCTATCATTAAAAAGATATTTTAATTATATGAATACGAAAATAAACGATCGTGCTTGACTGCCACGGTCTGCTCGCATATTTACCTACACGTGACTCAACAGTTATTCATATGTAATATTTTTCTTGTATGTATATGTGTTTCGCTGTCCAACTTATATCTCTTCTTTCATAAAAATAATAATCTATGAATCTATGTATAATAGGTTTAATCTCTAGTATAATATTATGTGTGATGCACCATATATTGCAAAAATTTATAGATTTAAATAAAAACATATTTCTAATATTATATACACAATCTTATAATTATTTAATATAAAAATATACATAGTTTAAGGTAAATTAATTTTTGGACAAAGCAATAATGTGTTAATCATTGGTAAAATTTCCACTGCAGTAGAATATTGAATTATCTACAGATATATTAAGTTATCGCTCTCGATAACTTAATGGTCATTTCCTCTAGAAACATCTTATATATTTGTTGAAGATAGTATTTGGAATTTTCCGGTGTTTTTATAATTTAACACTTTGTGTGGCCCATACCATAAGCCTTTTAAGGCACAGGCAATTTCTCATACTTTACAGTTTTTTCCTATAACGTTTAAAAAAAAATTGCGACAGTTCCGGCCTTATGTAAGTATAGAAATCACTCTTTGAAACCTTAAAGATAAATACATTAATTTTTATAGATTTTTTGTAACACAGAAACGCGTTCAAAAGCCCTTTAGACTTGAAAGTCCCAGGGTGTCCTGCAGGTGAGTGCTTCAAAAAACAGTGTCTACGTAGTGTTAAGGGCTCATACACAATGAGAAAAATAAGGAACAAGGAATTAGACATAGAGAGAATTCCGTATCTTGAAAAAAGAGAGTAGCTGTGCGTCTTGAAAAACGATGCGGTTATGTTTAATTCCTTGTTCCTTATTCCTTTCATTGTGTCTGAGTCCTAATTCGAATAGCAAATTTAAAATTTAAAATACTTGAATTTTAAAATATTAAAATATTGAAATATTTGCATTTTAAAATATCTAAAATACTTAAAATATTAAAATGTTTAAATTTTTCAAGCTTATAAGTAAAATATATCAGAGAAATTCGAACAATTCAAATCCGATATAATTAAAATAATAAAGTAAATTCAGGCAATTTTGAAAAAAAATAATTAAAAATTAGTTATATTTAATTTATCACAATCGCTTTTGTAAATAAATTTTCTCTCATGCCTAAATTGTTTGAAAGATCGAGTCGTTTGCCACTGCATTTAAAATCAATTAAATAGTTTTTGATCATATATATTCCGTTCGTAAACGAATTGTCCAAGTTCAAAACTCAACTTATGTACCGTACAATCACATATTTCAATTGATAGTTAAGAATAATGCGTAAAACTCGCACGTATCAATCAATTAAGAAAAATATATAAATACCATGTACGTTTCAAGCAATTTGCTGTTCGAATAATTAAAAAAGAACGTCAATTCTTATTTGAATTCTAACTTTAGTTTCTTCAATAAACTTAACAGGATCAAGCTGATTTATTGTGCATTTATTTTATACCTCAATATTTTATAATAAAATTACATTTTTAAAAGTATAATTAAAAATATAATTAAACTATCTCTTGGCTAGAGCACGTTTATTTAGTCGTTATCGTTTAATAGAGTCGCGTGCAGCGATCGCGTATATACTCACTCATCGTGAAAGGCACTCTGGTCCTCCTTTGTCAAAATCAGCGATACCTCCATCGTTAAAAATAAATCGAATCAAATCGGATCAGCTGTTGTATTTGGTGATTGCAAAGTCAATTAACATCCAGTTTCAGCAGTGCAGTAGTATTTACACGGTCGCGCTCTCCTAAATTTATTACCGTCGCGCCGCGCGCGATAAGTTACTGAGGGTCAGCAGATAAGGAACCCCAGCGAATTTGCGTGGATCACTCGGGTCGGGATTAATGGTCTTGCTTTCGCTCTCGGTATTTTGTAATGACGTCTGTATCGCGCTTATCAGCTGGTCGCGATAATGCGACAATAATCATTCGGAATTGATTCTTTAAATTCCGAAACAACAAGTTTTGAAAACCTTGACGCATTTACAATATTGCATACGTGCACACGCGTAGTTTCGCGGTCAATAATCATCGTGCGCAAGACCGGTCGAAGAGATATTTTACCCCGATACCCCTTACCAATATATCGCAGTTACTGAATAATGCGCAAATAATTGTGCGACATCGATCGGTTATTGACCCTTTTTGAACGACAATTGGTCGGTACAGCTGAGGAGTCGATTCAGCAACTATATATCGATTGATTTAATAAGTGGATTGTCGAACTGCATCGAATGTTGCATGCTAACAAGTGGAATATTCTAGCGATATATACTTATTCTGACAAAATCCTTATCAGAGATTTTTTTATTTCTTTTGGTTTACTTATTCTGATATGTATCACGACACAGATTCGTGTGAATCTTTAAAGATCTACAATACATTTCTCTGCGTGGAACAGAGGGAATACACTTTTTCGTTTTTCAAAGGAGAAAAAAAAATTAAAAATGTATCTCTTACTCGTGTAAATTTGATTAAATAAATCATTCGAGTAAAACGTAATACAAGATTAAACAATGACAGCGTAACAACGGTACCGCACATTCGCGCGGCTCGAACAATAATACGTGAAATGATATTAACTGCGGGAGACTACTTAACAAACTTGCACTGAATAAAGATGACGTTAACTTAGCGCGGGGAGCACTATTTATACGTGCTGTACATTATGCAACAAGTAGGAACATTCGCGGTAGTAGCCTATTTACCCTCGGGCT